GGCCAAGAAAGGCTGTGACTTGTCTATAGTGTCCAGGAATAAAGAATATCTTGCCCTGGTCAGTACATACTTCGCAGTTGTTTTGGGTTCAGTTCTAAGTGCCCGATTTTAGGGGAAAATGTTGAAAAGCTGGTGAGTGTCAGGAAGAATGTGACCAAGATGGTGAAAGGCTTTGATGAAGACCCTGACGTGAACATCAGTTGAAAGAATTGGGAATGTTTAAAGCAGAGAAGAGGTGCCTGGAGGGGGCAGGGATAGACATGATAGTTGTATGAAAGGTTATCATGTGGGCCTGAGGATCATAGAATCAGAGGTTTGGAGCTAAAGGGGACCTAAAAGGCTATTAAGTTCAACGCCCTCATTTTACAGGTGGAGAAACTGAGACCCAATGAAGTTAAGTGACTTGCCCAGGATCACACAGTTAGCAAGTATCTGAGATAAATTCCAAACTCATGTCTTCCTGATTCTAAGACTAGTTCTCTATCTACTTCAGCTTCTTCTGCTTGGACCCAGATAGTGACTCATTGGAAGGCCAATAGATTGGAACAGTAGATGGCAGTTGACCATAGCCAGATTTCACCTTGATGTAAGGAAAAAACCCAAACATGCCAGCAAGTAGAAATGGCCTACAGTGGACTGGACTGCCTTGGGTTCCAGTGGATCCCTCTTCATGAGAAGTCTTCATGCAAAGGTTTCATGACCACTTGTTGAACTATGGCTGGGATGAGACAGTCTCTGGGTTACCTCTCTCCCAACTTGGAGAATCTGAATTTTCATCATTCTCTGAGTTGAGAAATGAATGAGTAGTAAAGGAGTGGAGGCAGAAAGTTGAGAATACTCTTTCTATGAATCTGGCTCTGTAAAGTGGGGAGAGACATGGGATAATAGATTAAAGATGTGGAAGGATCAAGGACAGATAGAATTGGGGAGACCTAAGCATGCTTGTAGGCATCAGGGAAGGATTGAGTACCTGAGGAAAGAGGTAGAATCAGAACAAGGTAGGCAGGGATTATTGTAGCAAGATACCTGTGCAATGAATATAGCAAACAGAGAGCTTGGCCTCAGCAAAGAGAAGGGCCACCTCTTCCTTTGAGGCTGGAGAAAAAGAGAAAGTATACATATCATAAAATGAAAATATGGGGAAGTATTGACATCTCATTGAGATACTTGAATATTTTCCTTTCAATGTAATCTTTGTGGAATTTCTGGGAGGGGTGAGATTTGAGGGAATTTTTAAGCATGAAATGTTTTTCTTAGAAAAGAGGTAATTTTAACAGTTATGTCTTAACAGTAAAGAAGGCATGAAAAGCCTGGGGGTACCAATGGATGAGAAGGCAGACGCAATGGGCCAAGGCTCCCTGTAACTCTGTGCTTGCACAGACAAGGTCCTATCATGGGAGTTTGACCCCTCTCCTCACAATCATCAGTTTCTCTTACTTTGGCTCATTCTATATAATCCCCAACTAAATTAATCTAGAAAAACCAAGGTAAAATTTATCTATAACTCATATATAGAGAGGGAAGGTGATACATTGAGGCCTACTGGAGATGGTCAGCCCAGAAATTAGAAACAAGTTAGAATGTTCCTAAAAAGAATTATATCAACATGGCACAGTGGAAAGAATACTGAAAATGTAGACAAGTGTTCTTGATTTAAATCCTGATTTGCTGCTTGCTACCTGAGTCACTGTGACCAATCACATAATCTATTTGAGCCTCAATTTTCTCACCTGGAAAAAGGGTTGGACTAATTCAGTGGCTCTCAAACTTTTTGGTTTCAGGATCCATTTACACTTTATTTTTTAATGCTATTTTATTTTCCCCCAATTACGTGTAAAAGCAATTTTAATATTCATTTTTTTCTTTTAAGTTTTGAATTCCAAATTCTGTCCCTCCCTCCCCTCCCCTCCTCCCTCCCTGAGATAACATCTAGTTTCCTTGAATGTAAGATTTTTTTAAAGGTTTCTATGACTCAAGTTTGTGATGCATTGAAAATATGACCTCTCTAAGTGTGTGTGTATGTGTGTATGTGTGTTTGTATGTGTGTGTGTGTGTATGTGTGTGCATGTGCATGCACATGAGCTGCTCTTGGGGGAAGTTTCCTACTTCTCCCTCTCTCATGATAAGATAGCTGTGTGGTTCAGTGAATAGAACTCTGGACCTGGAGTTAGGAAGACTTGAGGTCAAGGCCCACCTCAGATACTTATTAGCTGTTTGTCCCTGGGCAAGATGCTTGACCACTGACTGCTTCTATTTCCTCGTTGGCAAAATGGAGGTGATAGTTATGGCATCTACCTCCCAGGGATATTGTAAGAATAAAATGAGATAAAAATGATAAAGTGCTTTGCAAACCTTAAGTGCTAGTCATTATTATTTCAATTCACTGCCATCATCTTTAGTGACAGGGAAGTCATCTTTAGCCTTTGCAGAAAATAAGCAGATATGTTCCACAAACTCCTCAATTTCCATCTCCAGGTGTGTCATACCCATTAGCTCCCAGGGGCCATGTGCCCCCTCAGCTGGTTTGAGGCACTAGCAGGAGTGAGGCCCTGGGGCAACTTTGTACTGGTTATTAGCCTTTTTGGCATCAGTAACCATGGCCCCAGGTAGGAAAAAACCTGGTGGTTTGTACATCTTAGACCTAGTTATGATAGCACAATTTACAACCCTCTTGGTCTTGAACTCTAATATTCAAGCAAGTCAAGAAACAAGAAACATTTATTAAGTACCTACTATGTGCCAGGCACCTTGCCAGGCTGAGGATATAAAGAAAGGGGAAAAAAAAACAGTTCCTAGTGAGAGAAAAAAAAACAGTTCCAGTGAGAGAAAGGATTATTAATGATCAAAGATTTGGGAAGCTTCAGATTTCCCCCTTTTTCTTTTATCCTCATTTTAAGGCCTCAGTCTCTGAAGGCTGAGCTAACCTTCTCTATTCAGACCCCAACCAGGTGGGAAGCCATTGTGCTCTACTCAGGTTTGAGTGGGGATAAATTCTTTTTATTGATTGCCTAAGGTTGGGGGTAACTTAAAAGTAAATGACATAATCAAGGTTGGTTAGAATAGGTTCAGCCCCTCATTGTAATATTCATTCTCTCATTAATTGTTAACCAATCAGAGTTGATTGCTACCATTAGGAACATCCCCCTTCCAAAAGGCATATAAACTGTGAGCCCACTGCCATGATTGTCTTTGGTCTAAGAGATGGCCAAATGACCATCCTTTCATCAAAATGTTGTCATTATTAATAAAATGATTAAATTATCCAGAAATTATGTCTCTTGAGCTTTTTAAATGCCACACTACCCTCAAGGAACCTGCAATCCAAGGTGGGAAACAACATGCAAACAACTATGTAAAAACATCTATATTATATCTATATTTATTTGTTTATTTCTATACTTATATCAATCTCCATCTCTAGCCTTCTATTTTTCCTCTGTCTTTATCTCTGCATGGCAAATTGGAGATAATCTCAGGCTAACGTGAAGGGGAATGGGAAAGACTTCTTGCAGAAGGTGGAATTTTATCTGAGATTTGGAGGAAGAGGAAGGAGATAACTACTCAGATGGGAGTTCTTAAATTTTTAGTTCACAAATACAAGATGGCCCTTTCTGAAATGACTGGTGGTGGTGCCTAGAATTAAAGTTTAAACCAGTACTTCACTCCCCTCCCAAATACACATTGCCTTGAATTTTTGGTGGAGGCAGCAGAAACGAGACCCCTCAACAACTTTGTGTTTCTCTAGGTCTTTATTGTTTTTTGGTGGTGGGGAAGGGGGGAAGCAGTGACCATGGCTTCAGGCTTGGAGGACCTTGGGTGTGGGCCATTTGCTCTGGCACACTTTGCCCTCAAGGGCAACTTTGCAAGAGTTTACCTCTATCTCCAGGAGTTAGCAGAAGACCTCCCTCCCACAGGAGCTGGCTGCTGGTGAGCTGGGTCTGCGGGTTACACTGGTCTCCATTCACAATTAAGTCCTGCTGTCTCTTGTTTAAAAGGATTCTTTTGTCATTATTATTATTGTTGTTAACTTAATAATCATGGGCAAAGTGGAATGTTTCCTTGTGTGAAGAACAGAAAAGAGACTCGTGTGAAATGTAACCTCTGTCCCATAGGATTTTTGTATGTAGGAATGTATATATGTGTGTATGTATATGTGTGAGCATGTATATGAGTGTGTGAATGTGTGTATGTATGAGTGCATGTGTATGAGTGTGTATATGTGTATGAGTCTATGAATGTGTGTATGTATATGAGTATGTATATGTGAGTACATGTGTATGAGGGTATGTGTATGTTTGTGTGAATGTAAGTATGTATGTATGTCTGTATGTGAATGAGACTATGTGTATACCTATGAATGTGTGTATACATGAGTATATGTGTATGAGAATGTCGGTGTGTATATATATGTGAATGTATTATCAATGTTTGAGCATGAGAGTGTGTGTATGTGTGTGTGAATGTATATGTATGCATATGAGTGTGCGTACATATATGTGTGTGTATGTGAATAAAATGTATATGTGTATGAATGTGTGTATATGTGAGTGTATGTGTATGAGTGTGTGAATGTGTGTATGTGCGAATATATATGTATGAGAGCATGTGTATGTGTGTTTATGTATGTGTATAAGAGGATCTTTGTCTATGAAATTGAGCTCAAGTAAAACAATTTCGCCACGTATCTGGGTCTTCTGCTGTCTTTTCTGTATTTTTATTAGTGTTAACATTTTATGCTCATTTCCTTTTTTCTTCTTTTTCTTTCTTCTAAGAAAGAGGAAAAATCTACCAAGAAATAGATGTGATACGAAAAAGAAAGACATTAATAAAATTGAACACATCTTCCCTTTATGCTTGCATCATTATCACAACTCAATAAACAACTCCTCACCTCTCCTGCCCCAAACAGATGCCCTCCCATAGCCAATGAGTGGAGCAAATGAGCAGGTTCCCAGCATACTTTGCGTCCTGACTTTCCCTTGCTGGTTCTCGTTGGGCAGGTCAACATTGGCATTCTCATTGCTGTGACCAGAGTCATCTCCAGGATCAGCGCAGAGAACTACAAGGTCCATGGAGAGGCGAATGGTTTTAAGTAAGTCCTGTCTCCACGTTATTCATGTGAGAACACTTTCATAGTTCAGGGCTCAGGCTGGGGAGTTAGGAGACCCAGAATTGGTCCTCTTACCGGGTCAGTTCATTGCTAGGTATGTGACTGTGGCCAAGTCCCTTCTGCCTCGAGATCTAATTTTCCTCATTGGTGAAGATAATATACCCTTCCCTGGCTCCCTCCCTGGATAGTGGTAAGAACTGAGTGGCCAAGCAAGAGTGACAAAGCTTGGAAAATGGTAAAGCACTGCACTTTATCATATCTCGCATTTACATAGCAATGCGAGGTTTATTAAATACTTTACTTACATCATATTATTTGATCCTCACAACAATCCAATAAGGTAGGTTCTCTGTTTATTTCCATTTTACAGATAGAAAAACTGAGCTTCAGAGAGGTCAATTAATATCACCTAACTAATAAGCATCAGAGGCAGGGTTTGAATCCAAGTCAGTCTGACTGCAGGTCCATCATTCTAATCTGTCTCTAATATAAAAATCTTAAAGTGCTGTATAAATGCTGGTTATTAGTAACTTCTTTTTCTTTCTTTCTTTCTTTCTTTCTTTCTTTCTTTCTTTCTTTCTTTCCTTCCTTCCTTCCTTCCTTCTTTCCTTCCTTATTTCTTTCCTTCCTTCCTTCTTTCTTTCTTTCTCTTCCTTCTTCATCTTCCTTTTCTCCCTCTTTCTTCTTCTTCCTCTCCTTCTCTCTCTCCTCCTCCTCCTCCTTGTGCTTCCTCTTCCTCTTTCTCCTCCTCCTCCTCTTCTTCCTCCTCCTTTTCTTCCTTCTCCTTCTCCTCCTCTAAAATCCTTAGATTCATGTAGTCCCACTTCCTCATTTCATGAAAGAGGTGGCTGAAAGCCAAAGAGCAGTGACTTGTGCTATGCTGTGGGAGGACTAGGACAGCTAGGTGGCACAGTAGATAAAGCACTCAGCCTGAAGTCAGGAAGATCTGATTTCAAATACAGACTCGGACGCTTTCTAGCTGTGTGACCCTGGGCAAGTCTCTTAACCCCGTTTGCCTCAGTTTCCTCGTCTGTAAAATGAACTGGAGAAAGAAATGGCAAACCACTCCAGTATCTTTGCCAAGAAAATCCCACATGGGGTCAGGAGGAGTCAGATACAACTGAAAACCACTCAGCAACAACAACAACAAGCTACAGGAATAGGAAGATGATGGTCCTGCTGTACTCAGCCCTTGTCAGACTTCATCTGGAGCATTGGGTTCAGTCTCGTGTTCCATGATTTAGGAAGGACACTTAGAAGGGGGAGAATGACCAGAGGAGGCCAGCTAGGAGGGTAAAGAGCCTTGATCTTATGTTTTATGCAGATTAGTCAAAAGAACTGGATACGTTTAGCTTGGGATAACAGAAGACTTGGGGTGAATGTGAGAATGGTCTTCAAGTATTTGATGGGCTATCATGTGGAGAAGGGATTTAATTTGCTCCATCTGGCCCCAAAAAGCAGAACCAGAAGCAATACATGGAAGCTACAGCATTTTGTAGAGGACTGAGCTTTGAGCTTCACATCGAGAAGACCTGGGTTCATATCTTGCCTCCTACCAGTTGTATAACTAGACTCCTTGAGGGCAGAGACCTTCTGTTTTCATAGTTGTATCCTCAGTGCTTACTTAGCATAGAGCCTGGCACATAGTAGATGCTTAATAAATAATTATTGACTATTGGCCATGGGCAAGTCAATGAGCTTCTCCAGCCTCAGTTTCATCATCTGTAAAATCTATAAAATGAGCTCAGTCTTGATTGAACTCTTAGATCTCTTCTAGATATAAAGCTGTGGCAATGTTGCCAAGAGACAAATTTGACCTTGACGTAAAGGGGAAATTTTTCCTAACAATTAGAACTTGTCCAAAAGTGGGATGGGCTGCCTAGACAGGTGGTGGCTTCCCCTCTCTGGGAGGTCTCTGAGCAAAGACTGGAGGACCACTTGTCAGGTACATTATTGTGGGGATTCCTTTCACATTTGGGTTGGATTAGGTGGCCATTATGGTCTCTTTCAGCTCTCAGATCCTATGGTCCTATAATCCTATGACCTCAAACCCTAGCTATGGGGTTTCCTACTTGTATGATTTGGGGCCAGGCATTTAACCTCCATAGGCCTCAGTGCCCTGCTCTGTTAAATGACAAGTTCAGGTTCGATGGTCTGTGAAGTCCTCTCAGTCTCTAGATCCATGACCCTGGGATTCCCAAGACAAACTTAGCTGACTTCCCATTGTTGCTACCTATGGGTCAATACTTTCCCTATAAATCTGCCATACTTGTATCCACTTTCATTCTGGAACACTTAGGCTGATTTCTTAAATACCAGCAATTTTCAGCTCTCAGTGGCACCAGCATAATTAAAGTTACTTTTTTTATACTACATCATTTCCACAGTGAAAGGGAAAACAATAAATATGCCTGCACCAAAAATCTATAAGACAATTATTCTGCAATGAATTCAAAACATTAGAAATTAAAATGACAAGCTGCCAGGGTCTCACAGCCTTCAGAAACCCATAGAAGGCAACAATGTGTAAGGAGAGGCATCTGGTCTGGCCATGGACAGTAGGTATTTATTTGAACACCAGCCTCTGTTTGATGTCAGTGGAGTGAAAAAATTTTCTACTTTCCAGTGAGGTCCATTATGAGGCTGCCATAAGAGAGTGGAAAGAGCACTGACTTTGGTGGCAGAGGATCTGGGTTCAAATTTTTCCTCTATTACTAATTACCTCTATGACTTGGATCAAGTCACTCACCTTCTCTGGACCTCAGTATTCTCATCTATAAAATGGAGTTGGATTTGATGTCCAAGTCTTAGATCCCTTCTAAATCTGTGATCTTTGGCACTGACCCCTTTAAGGTCAGAATAGAACACTTCAAATTTCTCCTGGCTTCTTAGTTCCTAGAAATCTTACCTCCTCAGCATTCAAGACTGTCCAGTTTGGCTAGGAACCATGAAACCTGGATGGAGGCAGCTCACCTGGGTTTGAAGCCCATCTCAGCTACATGCTCTTCTGGTGACTGAGACCAAGACACTTCACTTATAAAAGCCAAATGTTGTTTTATTGTTGTTTAGTAATTTTCAGTTGCATGTGACTCCTTGTGACCCCATTTGGGATTGTCTTGGCAAAGATACTGGAGTGGTTTGCCCTTTCCTTCTCCAGCTCATTTTACAGAAGAGGAACTGAGGCAAACAGGATTAAGCAACTTGGGTCATATAATGAGTTAGTGTCTGGTGCCAGATATGAACTTAGGTCTTCCTGATTCCAGGCCCAGTGAAACAACAACAGAATCCTTGGACTATTTACCTTTTGAGGGTTGTTATGTATAAAACACTATACAAAACTAAAAGAGCTTTACAAATACAAGTTAAGATGATAGACAAAGGCAGACAGATAAAGATGATAGATAGTAGATAGATATAGGTAGATAGATGATAGATGAATGGATAGACAGACAGACAGATAAATAGACAGAGATAATTTATAGTAGACAGATGGAAGGATAGATAGATAATTGATAGATAAATTGATAAATGATAAATAGAAATATAGATAATTGATAGATAGTAGATAGATATATAAATGTAGATAGATAAATAGGTAGATAAATAGAGATAGATAGATACAGATAATTGATAGTAGACAGATGGAAGGGTAGACAGACAGATAATTGATACATAAATAGATACTTGATAAATAGATAATTGATAGATAGTAGATAGATATATAAATGTAGATAGATAAATAGGTAGATAAATAGGTAGATAGATAGAGATAATTGACAGACAGAGGGAAGGATAGACAGACAGATAATTGATATATAGATACTTCATAAACAGATAATTGATAGATAGTAGATAGATATATAAATGTAGGTAGATAAATAGAGATAGATAAATACACAGATGGAAGGATAAATAAGTTGACAGAGAGATATAGATCACCTTATATCTATTAGATCTCTATTATCAGACTATCTTTCTATGTGATCTGTCTAGCTTTCTAGCTATCTATCTAATTTATCTATCACCTATCTATCTATCTATATACCTATTTATCTATCTATATCTATGTAGTCAATAGGTACAAGTTCTTTTGGGGATAGGGAGGGCCCAAGGAGCCAGCGGACCAGGAAGCCCTCATGTAGAAGGTAATACTCACATTCAGTCTTGGAGGAGTCCAAGGGTTCTTGGAAGTGCAGGGATTTCCAGACATGGAGGACAGCCAGTGCAAAGTCATGGGGACAAAAAAGAGAGTTCCTCTCCATGAAAGATTGTTTGTCCCCTACGATTTATGGAAAGAAGAAATTGAATGATTTTCTTACTGAGCTGAGCATGAGCATGAGCATGTCAGTGAGCTGTGGTCTCAAATTAGCAGATGATAGGGCTTGACTTAGATTGGGTCAGCTTGCTGAAGGATGGAAATTTCTTCCTGGGAGGCAGTGACATGGAGCAAAATGGACATTGTCACAGAACGATAATAATCTCTTCTGAGACACTTCATGCATGCTTCCTCACCAAGAACAACGTGGCGACTTCAGTAAACAAGGCCATTTGGTCGGGAAAAACCTGTTGAAGGTCACAGGATGCTCCTTGGATCCCTGCCATTACAGGGGTCTTGTCAGGAGTACATCAGGAGGCCACTGCTCATTAGGCACCTACTGTGGTGGAAACATTCATGCATTATCTGAAAAGCCTGAAGGACTTGAAAGGAAAGGCCTCAATTCATCGCAACAAACATTTATTGAATGCCAACCTACTACATGCAGAGCACTGTCCTAGATGCTGTAGGGGAACACAAATCCAGTGTGTTTCCTACTACACTTCCCTGACTCCCATCATTCAGGGTATTTTCTTTATACTATTCATTTGGTACTTATCACATACATAATAGATTGCCTTGTATTCTTCAGGGAATTAGGTGGTACATACACCATATAGAACTCTAGGCTTGGAGTCAGGATGTTATCCAGTTGTTTCAGCCATGT